ATCTATCTATCTATCTATATATATATATATATATATATATAATCACCTTTTTAGAAAAGTCAAAATGAAGCTAAAAAGATTTTCATTACTGGTTGTAAAGTAATACGTAAGCGAAGAAAAACGATATTAAAATCTGATGCATCACCAACAAGAGAGGCTAAAAAAATTAACCTCTTAGATTGCCGAAGAAAGCGGAGATGAGGCAAAAGGCAACTGTTAGAAAAATCTTAAAAGTTTTATATTCAATCAATATAACTTTGATGCTTTAGTAGTGGCTCGTCAGATTTTAATAAAGTTCGAGCCCAATCCAGAATGAAAAAGAATTCCTGTGTGAAACTTCATCTTCATACGTCGGAACAAGTTTGTTTTTTTAAGTAAAACGAAACCACATTTGTGTCACACAGGGTTAAATAGCCCCCAGCCTAGATACTCTGACGGCAATAAGTCTATAAACAATTATCATTCTAATTAAATTTTAATACTGTTATCTACCATTTTTTAATCCTGGATCATTTGTGTCAACATTTAACATTACATTCCCACTGCTTTTACCAGCTTTTCTTCTTTTTTCTTATTCCTGAGAATCTGAGTACGCTATTTTTTTTCTCCGTCCTATTCGATACACCTTTGATGAGATTTATGATCTTTGAAATATTTGGAATGGACTTATGGATTCTTGGTGGTAAAGTGGTTTAGGCTCAGATTTTTTATTGTGAAAGGCTAGGCTTTTATACCTCTGGTGGCATTTTGAAATCTTACCCAGTTTCAGATTGGTGGATAAAAACTTCTTCGAGAAATGGCCAGTGTGCAATACTAGCCACATTATCTCATGTCTTAGATAATACATTCTGAAGAGTTAACTTTCATAAACCCTGAGCCGACAACTGACTGTTGAGGGGGTACTAGACCTACGAATTTATTTCAGTAACATAACTAACACTCCCGTTCCCGTGGTATTAGGGGGAATTTAAGTTCAAACCCTTCAATTGCTGATCTCGAGATGATTTCAGTGTGCAACCTGATTCTGTTCCTTTATAGAATAATAACGAGTTTTTCTCAATGTTGCTCAATTAAAGAACAATGATAGTTGCATTTGTCCGGAAAGTAGGTAATATTAGTTGGGCAATTTATGAATCTTGTGGTACTAGGAAAGTTGCTCTCTGTGCACTTTTGATTAAATCTCTCAAAATTTACAAACATCTCAAATTTAAAAACATCTCAAATTTACTAACCTCTCAAAAACCAAAAAAATCCAACTTTTATTTAATACTAATGTTGGCTACTATTCTTGATGAAAACGAACTCATTAATGGAAAAACAATCTGACATTTGTGTGGAAATTTGATTGAAACATCCTTTACTACAAAAATAAAGACGATAGTCTGAATTTTTGTTTTCGTGTCGTTTGATTTATTTTTTAACATCTCGAATATCATCACAGTACTACTTCAGAATGTTACTAATTAACTTTCCTTTCAAGTTTTTTTTCTCAAACCATCTCTACGCAAATTTGTTCTAGTTTTAGTTAAAAAAAAGTGTATTTTTGCTGAGAATTCCTTTCGTGTGTTTACTTAAAAACCTTTTAGTCCATTAGTTAAAGTCTCACATCAAAGCTCCGCAGTGTCTCGGAGAAGCACATTTAAGAGTTAAAAATTACATTCCTGGAAAAATACATTGTACATGTTGAGACTCTTAAAACAAATGAATTTTCTCTAAGTAAGAATAAAAGATAAGATACATTTGTTTATCCTGGCCACCGATCTTTGCCAAGCTCATTTTTCCATCAGCAGATAGCGGGATAGTCCTCTGAAGCTTCCCTCGTCTAGGGATGCTCTAAGATCCGAGACTGTATATATATCTTTGAGCCAAGAGATGAAACGCAGAAGGAAGAGAAATATTACCATGTTTCGTTTTTATAGTTGGCGTTCAGTAATGGTTCTGAACAAACAATAAGCAGCCTGCGTCTGCTGGGATCATAGGTTCTGTTTCTGCTGGGCCATCGCCAAACTTCTTATTTTCTGGCGCTTTTTTTTCTTCTTTAGTCACAATTCATTTCTTGGAGCACTGAGACAAGGAATACCCCCGTGAACATCAACAGGTCCTTGAGAACGAAATGTACGGGTTTTAAAAGATGCACGTGGATAAGAACAGAGGTGTGATTTATTTTAAAAAGTAGCTGCGGCTGGGTTCGTTTCGTTAGTACTTTACGAACTTACTTGAACCAGTTCCAGACTATATCCGACGATTTACGCTTATTTTCAAAATTTATTTCAATTTAAAGTTTTTATATAATTGTAACGAAGTTATGAGATCATGATAAGTTTTCGTAAGGAAACGAAAGAAATTATAGGGACAAGGTATGATTGTTTGAGAAAGAGATATAGCCCGAAAGAAATTATCAGATATAAAAAATTTTTTTGTTTAAAAAGGAAATATTAAACATAAATTTGTTTTTGTTTAATATTTTATTTAATTAATTAGTTTTAATAACAAAAAAAATTAAGAGATGAAGCAATATCAACAGAATTTTTTTTAAAAAGTGGTTATTAGGAGCTTAAAATTAGAAAATGTTGAAATTTTTTTCTAAAAAAAATAAATAATAATAATTAATTCTTAATTAATTATAATATAAATTAATTTTATAATTAATCATGCATTTTTTCTCTGTTTTTTGATTTTCGGACAATACAAGAAGATATGTAGATAATTTTTTAAAAGAAAAGCAAAAAATATATTGTGACAAAACAATACTAAAAAGGGGAAATTTATCAAGAAGAAATCCTATTCACTTCATTATATTGATGAAGTATGTACATTGGGTAATAAATATACACAAAAATAAAAAAAATTGGGTCTAACTTTATTATGCAGTTGTTATACAGTCATGTCTTTATTACAACTGCTGTTATAAAGTTACGGTTTTAATTTACGACATGCAGTCACCATAACTTCTACGTTTTTTTTTACATCAATTTGCGTAATGCCGCTTTCTTACGACTTTTTGAGGGTTTTAGTGTAAACATGAAAAATAATAATATATCAATAATGATACAATTTTATATATTTTTAAAGTATTTTTTTAAAGTTTGTTTTCAAGTTGTAAATGTAATGTCAAGTACAAAATTTTAATAGTTATTCTTAGTTCAGCAATTAGACACATCCTTTCGAAAAATCGTTCAATTCAGTTTCACTCTAGTTATTTTAGGAAAAATATCGGGAAAAAATAAGGACTTATGCTCTTTCTGCATCAAGTGATTTAAATTTCAACTTATCTTTAAGAAGATAAGTGTGTTAAAGATTTAGATGTTAGAAAGTTTAGACATTAGTTAAAAGATTCTAAGGAAATTTAATGAGAATGGACGCGAAATATTAAAAGTTTCGGTTTTTGATGATGCAGCAGTTAGAACTTGGTTTTATATATCATTTATGGTTGTTCATTGCGTGCAATAAAAATAAAAATAAAATATAAGATTAAAAAAAAACATTTTATGATAGCATTTAGTAATTGTTACCAGTACAATGATAGGAGGAATGATTTTGTTAGTTTTTACACTTTTTTAATCATAGAGAATTTATGAGAGTCTAAAAATTGTGTTTTAATTTAAATTCCATTTTATCTAAGAGGTTACCAATGAACAAATAGCGGTATTTGTTAAATATTTCTCAGCTTGATGGTTCTTCATTGTCTTAATAAAAAATTCTTATTCGGTTTACACTAAATTCTAAACCTAAAATGAAATGTAAAGTGATGTCTATTTACGATAGAAACATTTAAGTTAACTTTTTACAGTCAAAATAT